CCATAGTTTCAGCATTACGGCAAACCAGTGGCAAATATATATCGGGAATTGGCGCTCTAGCCAAAATGTGGGAATAGTTGTAAGTTTACCTCTATTTTTTTTTATGTTATTTTTAATATAAATTGTTTCAAATCTATGTAAGAAAAATGTAAGAAAAATATACCACAAGTTTATCTTATGTTATTTTATACTTAATAAAATTGATTTAACTTGAATAAATAAATTAATATATACTATAATTTTAGGTCAATTTATTATTTTAAAATTATTACTTATATATATATATATATCGATATAAATAATTATATTATTTTTATTTTATTTTCAATATATTGGTCAACTCAAACATTATTGAAAAGAAATAATGTGATATATTACATATAAAAAGAGTAACAAATAAAAAATATGAAGTATCACAAAATTAAAAAATTTAATGAGAGAAAGTAATTAAATTTTAAGATTAACATACCCAATTTTAAAGAAATGTATACCTAAAAGTTCTAGTTAAAATATATGTGTATCTTAAGTATATTTTATATTTCTTATTAGCCAGCTCCAATTGATATTGTACATTAAATAATTTTATCAGTATTTTTACTCTTTGATTTAATGAGAGCTATAAGTTTTCTCATCATTCTTACCTCTTATTTAGTTATTATAATACTAATAAAATAATTAAGGACCTTTCAAAGTATCTTGTTTGTTTTGAAACAAAAATTACTTATTATCATAAATTAAACGACAATTACATTGAATGTGTTATATTTTCTATCATATCAAAATTTTCATAATAATAGTTGCACAAAATATTATATAATAATACAATTTTTTTTTATAGATTTGGAGTCATACTTTTATTACAAGAAAATGAGAAAATTCCAACGAAAATTACAACAAGAATATAACGATCTTCTTAAGTTGAATTGAGAAAAATCATGTCTTTTGGTTTCTTAAATATATTTTATCTTGTTGTGACTGTATTGATTTATTAAAATATATTACAAAATTAGAAAGGTGATATATTAATTTATAAATTACAATGACATGTAATTTTGATGGTATATTTTTTCTATTAACTAAATAATGCCCCCAATATGAAATTATTTTAGATCTATCACTGCAATTAGCTTTCCAATGAAATTTCCATTGAATTTTTGCACAATTCCAATGACAGTTTTTCCAACAATTGAAATATGATCCAAAAACAATCCAATGGAAATTCAAGTAATTGAAATCTTTAAATCCACTAAAGTTCAAGTAATTTAATTTGAACTTTGTTGGAATAGCCAATGAAATTTTCCAATAAAAGCAATATTTATGAAATATTCGTTGGAATTTTCTGTAGATTACCTTACCGTTGATTTTTTCATTGCAATATAGCAATTTGTTGTAGTCCTCTTAAACATTAATTTTTTATGTAGTATTTATTGATTAATTGTGTTTACAATTTGTCTATTAAAAATATATTAAACACATAAACTTTTTAGTTCCTGAATTTTTTTTTTTTCAGAAATTACTCATTATTTCATCTTAAGATTACCTATTGATTTACCAATTGAGTTACATTTCTTACATATTAAATATTTTAAAATTAGAATATTTCCTATTTTATATGTTCAATATGATATTTATATATTATATTAAAAAAATAATATAACAAATAAAAAGTTATTTAAAATTAGAATAATAAAGATTTTTTTTTTGGTAACTTACATGAATAAATGTACAAATAACTATTGTCTATCACATCAAATTTACACATAAAATTATAAGGAGAAAAAACTAACAAGCGTTTAACAACTCAGCTCGTTTACGTCGATAAGTATATTTATAAAAGGTTTATATTTCTTCTATTAATTACAATATTTTTATTTATTACTTTGTTTCATATTTATTAGTACGTGTCACAACTTATTTTTTTTTAATATTATTTATCATATTTAATATTTTTTTTAACTTTTATCTTGTTCTTTTACATGTTCTTAACTGTAGATTTGTCAAAAAATGCATGATATAAAGTCTAGAATTGTTTCGACCATCTGTCTCATTATATATCAACTATTTGTATATCTTATATTATATTATATTTAATTACATTTTTTTTAATTTATACTACAATTAAATATTTATAATTCATAAATTCATCAATAATATTGTCGATTCAACTTTTGTTCATAAAATTTTAAAAAACATAATTATTTTCAATTATATGCTTATGTCAAATTGAGAAAAGTTTTTTTTTTTTTAATTGTAACTGTATTGATGTGTAACATATATTATAGATGAGAAAGATGACAAATTATGAAAAATATAATTTATAAATTATAATGACATTATGTTATTTTACTGGTATACCTTTTCTATTAACTAAATAATGCCTCAAGTATGAAATTATTTTGTATCCACCACTGCAGGTAGATTTCGAATAGAACTTCCATTGAAATTCTTACATTTCCAGTGACATTTTTTTCAACAGTTGAAAATAATGTAATTTGATCTCGGAATATTCAATGGAATTTTACAATGACAGCTATACGAATAAAATATCATTTGGGATTTTCAGTGGATGTCTTACCGTTGGATTTTTCATTGCAATGTACCATTTTTTTATTCCTTTATAAATTATATTTTTTATGTAGAAGTTTTTGTTATTAATTAGATGTATTTATAATTTTTCTATTAAAAATATATTAAACACATGAACTTTTTAATCCATATATTTTTTAGAAATCGCTCATTATTTTATCGCAAGACTACCTATTAACTTATCAATTGAGTTACATTTCTTGCACATTAAATATCAAATAATAAAAAGTATTATTGTATATATATAATATGGTATTTATATATTATATTAAAAAAATAATAGCAAATAAAACGTTATTTAAAATCAAAATTATCAAAGCTTTATTTAAAAAAATAAAAATAAATTTCTAACCTACATGGATAAAAGTATAAATAACTATTGTCTATCGTCTAAAATTTATACATTGAACTAATAAGCGCAAAAATTTAACATGTGGTGAACAATTTGGCTCATTTACATCGATAAATACAAATTTAAAAGTTCTACAAATACTTTTACTAATTATAATATTTTTATTTATTACTTTTTTTCATAGTTATTAGTAAGTATTACAACTTAGTTATAAATTTAATATTATTTATTAGATTTATTGTTTTTTTAACTTTAAACTGTTCTTTCAAATGTATTTTAATATATATGTGTGTGTGTGTGTATAACTTTTAGGTTTTTTAAAAAATACATAAAATTAAAGTATAGCACTTTTTTGAATCATATGTCTTATTTATATCAATTAATTTTATATCTTTATATTATATTATATATAATTATAATCTTCTCATTTATACTCAAATATATAAATTTTTTATTTCGTACATTTTTTTCTTAAAAACCATTTTATTATAATAACACATATTAATAGATAGATGAGTAATGATAATATATGAATATAATTATTTGATTAAAATAATTAATTTTCAACATGTAAATCATATTATGATTCTCGAGATATTTTTAATTTATTTGTAGATAATTATATGGTTAAAATTAATCCATGTTGCTAAAGTGGTATCTCATTTAACGTGAAAACAAATAAATTAAGTTTTAGTATTATACAATTTCATAAAATTATTCTGGTCTTATGTATCGAAGAAATTGAATTGATTAGAAGTTTAGGTTGCAGAACAATCATTCAACAATTAATCTCGCATACTATTACACATTTTGTATAGGTTATTTTGAAAATAATGTTTCTATACTTTGTGGTCGTTATGAGAAAAAAACAATATCGATTTCTAGTTTTATAAGTGTTTATTATGCTTTTTTTGTTGGATCAATTTTAATTTCTTTAAGGAACTTTTATATATTAGAGTTATGAAATGTGATTACAATATTACCATTAAAATTATATTAAAAATAATGACGTTTTTCAAAACAACAATTCTATATCCTATCAAACAGTTTTAGAGATATATGGAAGAAAACAAATTCGTGAGAAATAATGGTGCCAAACCAACATACTGTAGTTGATTTTAGGAGTGTGGAATGATTTGTTCATGTATTTGTATTTAATTAATTAAATATTAGTTATAATTAAAAATATAAGATATGATGGACATTAATATATTACTAATTTGCCATTTAAAACATGTCAAAGTAAGGGCTTATTAGGTAATTCATTTTAATATTTAAAAATATAAAATATGATGTGTATTAGTGTATTACTAATTTGCCATTAAAAATATGCCAAAGTAAGGGTTTTTTAGGTAGTTCATATTTTTACAAAAACACTCATCCTTTTAGAGTAGTATAGATATAGATAGATAGATAGATATAGATATAGATATAGATTTAGAGTAGTATAGATATAGATAGATAGATAGATATAGATATAGATATAGATTTAGAGTAGTATAGATAGATAGATAGATAGATATAGATAGATATAGATATAGATATAGATAGATAGATAGATATAGATATAGATATAGATTAACAAGAATAAAAAAGATCACAAACGAAGATAGTTACCATAATAAGATTGGTATTATTATGACGTGTATACGAGAATCGTGATGAAATTAGTTGCACTTCATACAATTTACCCGAACACATCTTTGTACTCGAATGATTATCGGCCATCAAAACGAAAGTTATTACTATAAAGGACGATCACTTAATACAATGTGCGGCTAAAACAAAAAAAAATATATATATATCGAAAACAAATGTCATGCATTCGAAAGTACTTATTAAATAAATTAAAATATTATAGTTTTATGAGGCGAAACTGTAGAGCATGAAAGTTTAAAGAGATAGGGTTCTGTCAAAGATATATAGTCGTGTGTGTGGTTGCATTCTCCTCCTCCCTTTTTTTGTTTGTTTTTTACAGAAAAAAGTTTGTTTGTCTTCAAGTCACGTGAATGCCCAAGTAACTCGCTGTCTAATTTTTTTATTTTGTTTTCTTTTATTTTACATATTTTGCCCCAATTGCCTTTAAAACAGCTTTGGGCCTCTGCTCATTACGCCCTTTCGAAAGACACACAACACACACATTGACATTTTTCTCCATCTCTCTATAGAAACTTTAACTTGATTCATTGATCAAAGAAACTTAACATTTTTTTTTTGTTCTTTTTCTTTGTATAGATTATGTGATGAATTTAAATTTAAATTCGACGCCTTTGCCTTTCCCGATGACGCAACACCAAATAATTACTCGCGATGATAATATTGTTCCGACTTTCGGCCCAAATGATCCTTCTTCGTCTTCCGTCTCATGTCGTATTTTCTTGAATTCGACTCAGGATCACCGTACGGGATATTATCACGATGATCACACGGAATTATACCGACCTCAACAAATTTCGGTACGTTTTAATTAGGCACATAGTAAAAATTAGAGTGACCATACATTAAATAACCCAATCTTCCTAGAAGCTCAATTAAGCTTTAAGATAAGGTGTTTAGTCAACACTTAATCTTCTCTACTTTGTATTAATATATAGTTGGTTGTACTTTATCTAGCACTAGACTAATTTCCTCTTGGTTTAACTTAATATTGTATTTTGATCATTTGTTAGGATGGAAACCATGGTGGATCAATATATGAGAACAAGAACAATAGAGTTTATCAAAGTGGGCTCAAATTAACCCTATGGAAGAGAGAAGATCACGAAGAACACGTTGACAATCGTCCCGTGAAGTGGAAGTCGCCGAAAACGAGAGCGATGCACAAGATCAAGAACAACGCGGGTCGACTAACTCTAAAGATAACCAAAAACAAGCTCGAGAATCAAATAACCTCCTCTTTTGAGAGTGATAACTCGAGCTCCACCGGCTCCTACATGACCGAGAGAAGCCCGATTAAGGTTTGTTCCGATTGCAACACCACCAAGACCCCCCTTTGGAGAAGTGGTCCCAAAGGACCTAAGGTAATTTATTTCACATAAAAAAACTATAAACAAGAATAGTCCTTTTTCGTTTTTCGGTTACTAGAAATCGAACGAGATCTTCTATTTCTCATACAACGTTGTTTTTGGGCAGTCCCTTTGTAATGCGTGTGGAATTAGGCAAAGGAAGGCAAGGCGGTCCATGGTGGCGGCAGCAGCAGCTGCCGCCGCTAATGGGACCACCGTTGCCGCCAGTGATCATGAGAATCCGGCGAAAATGAAGATCAAAGTGAAGTACAAAGGGAAAAACGCGCACTTCAAGAAACGGTGCAAGATAGCGACTAGTGAAGTAGGGTCGCAATCCAACGGCCAGAAAAAGATCGAGTTCGAGGATTTCTTGATTAATCTAAGCAAGAACCTTTCTTATCATCGAGTTTTTCCTGAGGACGAGAAGGATGCTGCTATCTTGCTCATGGCTCTGTCGTCCGGACTTGTTCACGGTTGACTTCATAAACGTTCATAATTTTTGTGGTTGCATGAGTTTTTATTCAGTTCGTTTGTGTTGATTAGTTAATCAAATAGTGTTAATATGAATATCTAGGCTTGGTTCTTGAATGTGTGGAGAGTAGTGTTTTTTTGTGATGTATCGCCAATATTTGGTTAGATTGATTGAGTGAGGCTTTTATTATTATTGTTGTTATATTTTGTTTTTAGTAGTTGAATAATGTAAGTTGCTATTGGTAATTAATGATAAGTTTGCGTGTGCTAATTTTGTTAGTCTCCTGTTTCGTTGGACAAGGTGAGATATCCTAATTATGGATATCATCATATGTTTGCTAAATTATATACTCAATTCTATTGTGAAGTGTTCTAAATGTTAGACTGTTATACTTCATACTTTTTTTTTTATATATTTATTTTTATAGTATGACATTTTAATTTAAAAGTACATGTATTTGTAGGAAAAATATGGCTCCGGTGACCTGAACTTCAGCTCCTGACATTGTTGTTGATAATAATTTACAGCTCATCTCTCTATTTTCCTCTGCACATGGAAGCTTCCATGTGCAGAGGAAAATTGCTATATATACCACTCGTTGTATAATTATGAGAAAAAGGTCCAAAATGGTAATTAGTTACATTAAAGGAACCAAAAATAAAGAAATAAGTAAAAAAGTATGACAATCCACGGCATATAAAATGCTATATAAAACGGGAAAGAATCAGAAAGTCGTCTGGACGGACTCATTTGGCGAATGGCATTATTATCGTCATCAAATACCGTATCCACTAAATAGACAATATAATTCTCATAAGTTGTTTCATATATTTTTCTTAATTATCAGGCAGTGGAAATTACACATTTGCACTCATTCTAATATAAATGAGAGCGGATGGTATGAGAAGATTTTTTAATCTTGATTTTTGTTTTCAATTCTCTTCATCTTTCTTTCTGCTTCAATACACACGCATTACACATATATATAGTATACAATGGATAATTTTAGAGTATATTATTTTTCTTAACAACTCAATTAATTTCTAACAACTTTCAACTAATGACAATTATTTCAACTTTATTCTAGAATGTGCATTAATAATTTAACAGTTTCTTTGTATCTGTATAACTCCATATTTCGTTGGCAGCTTCAAATCTTATATCACAATCATTTATGAAATTCATTTTTCGGGACGTATGAACAAGGCATAAACACTAGCAAGTTATGGACAAAGGGACACAAGAAAAATTCCGTTTATCGCATAGCTGTATAATTTTTTCTTGTTCGTCCTGAAATTGGAGCTTGAATAAACAAATACCCTCTTAAAATGGTTGAAAAATAGCAGAAAAAATAATACAAAAAATAAAATGCTGAAATTGGAGCTTGAATTAACAATAAATTTGAATTCAAGTTCATGAAATGAGGAAAGAAATGAGAGCCCAGTTCATACATCAATTTTGAACAATGGGTCTCCAGAAAATTGAAAAAATTTATGGGAAAAATGTAGAAAAATTTAAAAAAAAAAAACATATTTAAATTCCATGAAAACTTCAAATTGATAAACGGCTATTGCAATCCACGAAAATATGAACAAATTGAGAGTTCACTATCAATTTTTTAGACAATCAAGATGTTGGAAATTGCCGCTTAAATTTTCAACGGAATAAGCGGCAACAAGTCAATATATATGTGAAATTTATATTGATAATTTTTTAGCCATGAAAAAAGTACGTTTAATAGCGCAAAAAACCTTCTAAGCATGAATTTAGTATAACAATCCAAAGATACTCTTTGGCAGCACTCGAACAAACTTGAGAAGCTCAATTTTTTAAAATCCGGTGGTGGTCGGCATTCAAAAAACTTTAAAAAGGCTCAATTATCCGGCTGTGGTCATTAGCCGGAGGCCAACGAGATGACCGTGAATTTTTTAATAAAAATGTTTTAATTGTATTGCTTTTAATATTTTACAACAAATCTGACGGTTTGGATGAAATTGTTTAACCCACCGAAGAGTATTCTTTTCCTCTCGAAAGGAAAGATATATTAAAGGTTGAAAAAATTGCAGTTTTCGTCTAGTAATTTAGGCCGCTTTTTATTTTTGTCTAGTAATTTAGTCGGATCCATAATTAGTGAACAATTCCTAAATTGTAGCCAATTTAGTCTTATTTCGACGTGGATCGCCAGAATTTGTTCAAAATTTGCTGAGCGGACAAATTTCTGAGTCAACTAGGTTAAAGTAGACAAATTTTCAGCAGATTAACTGATGTGGATACTTTAATTTTTTCCACGTAATTTTTTCCTAAATTATTTTAATTGTAAAATTAAGAAATTAACCTCCCTCAACACCTCTAAAACCATTTGATTGCTCCTCTAATCCCCGCCACCGACTAGGATCTCCACACCGACGAAACGTGCGTGGTTGGACCTCTCCGGCCAGCACCTTCCCCCGAGAATCATGAGCTCAGTTGCCCACTTCTCCTCATCGAAATTTCGTTGTCCGATAAGTTTATCAAAACGCTAAACCTTGATCTTGTGAATTTTTGCTTCCTGGTGACAGTTTGATTGGGGTTATCAGTCGGGTGCTGCGGTCAGTACTTGAGGATGCTTTTGGGGCAATCAGTGGTGGATTTGGAGCCTCGTTCACCATGATCAAACTCCGCACGCGAGGTGTTTGATGATTTGCCTGTGTGGGGGACCGTTGACACCTTGGAGAAGAGAACGACATTGAACGTGGTAAAAAGATGGTCCTCAGGTCTCGGGGGTCTGTGACAGCGGTGTTGGGGTGGATCACTGTAGAGGAGGAAACGTTGTGATGATGCACGATCTTGATATAGTTTTCTCGAAGTTCTTCACAGTTACCTTCAGTCGCGGGCGACATTTTTGATCTTAGAATTAAAATAATTGAAGGGATTAATTACGTGAAAAAAATAAAAGTGTCCATATCAGTCTATTTGTCAAAAATCAGTCCATATCAGCCTAATCGACCCTGAAATTTGCAAGATCAGCAACTTCTGATATATTTGATTCCAGCAATCGGGAAGGACTAAATTGGATAAAATTTAAAAGTTATTGGACTAATTTTGGATCCGACTAAATTACCGGACGAAAAATTGGAAATGACCTATGTTACAGGTCTAAAAATATTGAAATTTTACCATTAAAGATATAAGTAATTATAGATTGGACATTCGAATTAATATACTATACAAGCTACATACTTGTTTTGCATGTTTCAATGCTTATTTTTTAGGTGATTTTTATGGCGAGTCAAGTCAACTTTTGACTTTATTTGCGTTGTTCCGGTCCATGTTGTTCGTTTCAGTTATTTTTTATTTTGGTATTTTCGTGTTTCTTCGTACTTTCTAGTGATTTGTAGGTTCGTTGTTCATCGTTTCTCCGTACTTTCCGGTGTTTTGTAGGTTCGAAAAGGAAAATGATTATTTGAAGTATATATTATCATTGTAGAGCATTTTCATCGTATATTCGTTGGTTGCCCGCGTTTGAATTAGCTGAAAAATGCTCGTCGCTCGCCTGCACGACCCAACGCCCGAGCACTCGCTGGCCAAAAGTTGCTCACACGCCCGTGGACGTCGACACACGCACTCACCCGCAAGTGGAGTCTCGCGAGGTGTCCGCACGCCCACCACACTCGTCCAAAACATGCATGCACGCTCGCGAGCATCACCATGAACCTAGCTCGCCAAAAGGTACTTGCACGCCCGCGGGTGCCATGCAACTCACCTGTCGAAAACTACTCTCACCTGTTGAACGCCACCTGCACGCACATGAGTTTTTCGTGCAGCTCGTTCATTGCCACACTTTCACGTCAGATCCTTCTCACATGATCACGAGTTGTTGAACAACACTCGCCCGCCAGAGCCTTCTCATATGATCACAAGTCACCGAACAACACTCGCCCGCTTCTCGCATGGTCACGAGTCGCTGAGCAACACTCGCCCTCCATAGCCTTTTTGTGTGCTCGCGAGTGTCGTCGCACTAGTTGCTGAGTATATCTCGCACTCGCTCGCTAATGTTGTCTTGCAGAGGTACGAGTCTCGCCCGTGAACAAGCCAAGACACTCACCACCAACAAATTTTCGCTTACACGCAAATGCTGATCATTTAATGTATGTTTTTCCAGTGCATGTACTATTGAGGGTATAAACACAATTGTCCTTTGCATTTCAAATGTACTTTTCACATTTCCTCTTTAGTAATTAGTAGATTATATCTTCACTTTTTCTCTATATTTTTTAATTTTCATTTGTGCGATGTTGGAGCTCCAAAGCTCGACCTTTGAAGTTCTCAGTTTTAATGAAAATTTCCATCTTTTTGATTCGATTTCCTTCAAGCGTGCAACAGAAGGGTGAGTATTTGGTTTCAAAATTCTCACTTCGTAATTGTTCATTTTTACTTATGAAGTTTTTCAAGGTAGATGTAGTGTATTGCATAGGGAGTCGGGTTAGAAGGTCTTACACTATTCAAAGTTTCTTGAATTAGCTTGTCTAAGGAATGTAGGAGTTGCTCGTGTGTCTATCAAGTATTAAAAGTTTATACTTCGTTTAAAAGCTTCGTCATTTAGGTTGAAGTCTCGTTTTTGATATCATAGGACTTTAGTATTCGCTTGTTCACTTATGAGTTATTGTTTGCTTAAGTGTTGGAGACTCCGTGGTTACCAAAGGTGAAATTTTTAGTTAATTGCTCTTCACTTCTAGTAACTAATTATATTTAATTAGTTTAACGCAACCAAATTAAATTTAATTAGGATATTTAGGATTTATTTTCTATTTTAGTTTTCGACAACTTGATTTGGGACTAGTCAAAATAATCCTACTGAGAGACAACCCGAGATTTTAATTACCCGGTTAAAAATTAATTGCAAAACTATCTCAACAATGCTATACAACTAATACCATTGAATCCACCTGCTATAAAATTTGAATAAGATAACTGTATAGAGAAAAGTAGAACTTAACTCTTAAAATTACAAAAATAACCAACCAATGGTATCAAATTTCATTAGCTGGAATATATGATTCCATAAAAAAAAGAAAAAGAAAAATGTAATAATAGGACTAACAAGTAGCAAGGAACAATTTTCATTAGAATTGTAATTCTTTGAGCGTGTTTGTTTATAAAAATATTAATATTCATACTAAACTCATTGTCAAAATTTAACTCAATTTTAATTCGATCATATTATTTTAAATATTATTAATATAATTAGATAATATCAATTATCATTCTTACAAATCACATAGTTTCAATTCATCATTATCCACTCACATCATTTTAACTGCTATCATTTTCAATAATTTATCTCCTACTTTTACATAAATTAATATTCATTATTTTATTTTAAATATTATTATAATACCACATTAAAATCTCACTAACAACTAATATTATTATATTATGCCCTTTTTTTTTCAAAATTAACTTTGACTAAAAAATAATAATAAAAAAATGATAAATTAATATAACAAACAATAGTCACTTTTTGACTTTCAAGTTTCAAAAAACACCCAAACAATAGTCACTTTTTAGTCTGTCGCTTCGGCAACAAGATATAAAGTAGCAACTCTTCGGTTACCCCTTTTCAAAAAACACCCAAACAATAGTCACTTTTTAGTAGATTTTCTGCACTGCATGTGCTTCTTATTGTCCCTCCGTCTCTTTTCGTAGTGGCGCTTCCCAAGCCTTTGGTGGCCACGACGGGTTCAATGGGTTTCGGGCGGCGAGGGGGAATGGCTATCGCTGTCGGATCTGTCCGCCGCCTCGGTTGTGGTCGAATCTGTGACTTGCGATTGGACGCCTCCTGGATCCGTGTTGTCCCTGGTGCTGGTTGGACGAGTCTGACGACTGGGGTTGTGGTTTCTCTCGCAGCCTTCGTCTGTTTGGTGCGGGGTATTTTCGGTGGTGGGTCTCTCCACGTGGATTTGTGGTGGTACTTGTGGATGGGGCTGTTGCTCGCTTTTGGCCCAAGTTGAGTTAGCCGTTCTTGGAGTTGGAGTCTCTCGATCTGGTGCTGGGGCAATGGGTTTGTCCTCCTCGGGTGGCTATTTGCCGGTGTTGTCTTCCCAGTGGGATTCGAGGGCGTGTTGGTGATGGGGAGGGCATTTTATTCTTTTAGGGGTTCTAGTTTTGCTTTTTTGGTTTGTGTTTTGTGTATGTGCTTTTGGGTTGTATTTTTCGTTTTTGGTTTGGTTTATGTTTGCCCAGTCCCGTCTTTTGGCGCTAAAGGTGTTGGACGATTGACCTCAGGTGCGCCCAGTCCCTTATTAATTGCCATTTGGGGTGGAGGATTGAAGACTCCTTTGGCATTGTGGGACTGGGCTTGTAGTGTTGTGTTGTGGGTTTCGTAATTATTTTTTTTCTCTCTCATAGGGGAGTGTGTGATCTNCGGCTCTTGTGCCAGTCTTTTCGACTTTTAGATTATTTTATAAATGTAATTATGTGTTTTTTTATATAAAAAAAAAACCCGGCTAATATGCATTTACCAAATATTTCCCATAACCTTCTTCCATTCTCCTCCACACATTTTTGCACAGAAAAGTCTGTAGAGTCCCTTGTCAAGAAACTGAAAAACCCTTTTCCGCCCTCCACACGCACACACTCACACACACCTGTGATTGTGCGAGGGCCAAGAAAATCTGACGAGCTTTTGGTTTTCGCTATTGTTTTCACAAGACTGATCGATCCCTTTGAACCGAAAATATATTTTTCTAAAAAAAACCCAATTTGCGAAACGTACACACGCACAAGGGTTTTGAAGAAGACGACGGAAAAAACTTGTTCTTGGCGAAGTCTGTGTGTATGCGACCGAGTGTAGAAATGGCTGATGTGATCAGACTATGCTCCAATTATCAAAAGTTATCTTCTTCGTTGTTTTCTTTATCTTCGTCTCTGAGCTCATGTCAGCGGCCCCCACCTCTCAATCAGCGAGGAGGGTCGGTTTCCCTCTCGGAGGTTTCTTCTATCGGTTGGGGTTTTGTCTCGCCAATCGCCTTCCCACGCCGCAATCAATTTGGTTCTCCCAAGGTAATGTTGCAAAGGCCTAATGTTAATAAGTTGTTTCTGGTGACTAGGGGTTTTTTTTTTCCTGCGTAGAGACGGTTTTTTCTNAGGCTTGTATTTGTAGAAAAATCTAATTTTTTGTAGCTTTCTGTTTCTCAAAGTTTGAAAAATGCATTTGAGTTTGAATTGGAAAAATGGGTTACTTGTCAATGGTCATAATTTGTATTAATTTCAAAATTAAAATAGTTTTGACTAATGTAGAAGTTTATGGGAATGGCTTCGAAAAGTCTCATGTACTGTAATTGTTGATATGTTCGTCAGAATATATGAACTTTGCAGTTTATCTGGTTCCTGAACACTAATTGATTTTTTTCTCATTAGTCTTTTGTCTGATGTCTTTGACTTTTGGGTCAAGAACACCTCAATCATACACTAGAATATTGAGTATAGATTACCGTATGTTTGTGACATCAATCATGGTGAAAAACTCTGTTTTTGTGCCTGCTATTTGACGTTTACAATTGTCTAGTGAAGTTCTTTCGACATAATCCATCTTTGGTGCTCCAGAGACATTTGCATAATTGAAAGAAAAAATGAAATTTTCTACATGTAATTAATTGTAATCATTTTGGTGTTATGTCTTTTGGGATGATTACACTATGAACATGGTAAGCATTATATATCACCAATTATTAGCTCTAGGGGTTGGGTCCTACAAGTTGCGGAGTCCTTATGTGATTTTTTCACATATGTCAGGTCTTATCCTGCTCTTTACTGATGCGAAGCTTACATTGCTCATTTCACGTCTGAATTAGATTAGTTGTTGGCAGGTGATGAATTATGAAACCCGTCTCTAACACATATAAGTAATTGAACTTGTCTATCCTGTTGTTTTAAAGTTATTAGGTCATCTATCCTGCCAATTTGTCATTGATATTATAATGAGTTATGCTCCGCTGACGAATGTTGGATGCATTACTTTTTCGTTTACTTCAATTCAGCATAGGCCAAATTTAGTAAATCTGAACTTTCATAGAATGTTTGTTTTACAAAACAGATAACGAAATTGCCCTGCAACAGAATGTTTGTTTTGCATAACAGATAACGATTGCCCTGCAAGTTTACTCAAGATTGCCTGCATATGCAGTAGAGAAGGGGAGTTCTTTAACAAGCTTCCAAATTTTGATAAATTATGATGGATTCAGCTCTGTTTTGAAATCGCTTGCAAGATTGCGTTTGCAATTCAGTCATGTATTTTCTCCTTCAGATGCGTCCCCTTTTTCTTTTCTTTTCTTTTCTTGTTTTTTGTTTGCCATCAATGTATTACGATGTGGTTCTCCCTTCGCGTTGCTGAAATGCGTGAAAAGCTTTGTGGTTTCGTTGCAAGCAGTTTGCTTTTATTTCTCTGCCATAATCATTTCATCGAGATGTTGTAATTCTGACCATTTGTATTTATGAAAGTTGATGGTTCCTTTATGCATGCGAGAGTGCGTTTGCTTCTGTTTGCTTTTCGTTTTTCTATAGCTTTTTGTGCCATGAATATCATAAATGATATGAATTCTTAATGATCTGACACTAGCCATATGGTTGTATTTATATCAGATACACCATTAGAAGTATTCATAACAATCATTTCATCCAGAGGGCCCACGAACATTATGCTTATGCAACGGGCCAATAATAATCTTGATTCATGAATCATGATGCACCTGGCTGATAAATCTATTTCCGTGACATAACTTTTGGCGTGCCCCTTGGGAAATCCTGTAACTCGTGGTTCATTTGGTGATATATCTTTGCTATGCACTATCTGTTCTTGATTCCTTAATAGAATCTTGTTATGTATAGGGTCATTTTGCTCGAGTTTTTTGTTATTTGGATTGAGTGCCACTCTTGTGGCTATTTGTTTCAGAAAATCACTGCATGGTTCTATTCCCTTCTCTCTTTAGTTTTATTTTTATTTTTATTTTCATTGAATTAATGAAACTGATTCTTATTATACATATGTTTTAGTTGCAAGATTTAATCAGCAAATCTGGTGAAGCCTAATTTATAAGAGAAAATAGTCA